GACTGTCTCGGTTGCCGCCGTGAACAACAACGAAGATTCTGGGCACTCACTCTTTGGTGGTATTTACGAATTTAGATGACTGCCGCTGGAGGATGTTGGTGGCAGATAGTACCTAGGATGGTACTCTTTACGTTATGTCGAACCCTATTAGGTAAAAGGGCGTAAGCGACATTTTCATTTTCTTACAGGAACTAAAAAAGAACACTTTTAAAATCGAATATCCGATGGATTTTCGTGAAAATCAGATGTGTAGCTATTAAAAAATTATTTCGATAATACAATTACAGAATAAAAATTATATTTTTGATATTGGTGTAACTTGTGTCGCTTACAATAAAATAAATGGTAGAAAAATAGATGGTGCTTACACTTTTCACTTTCGGCGCTCACAACAAACGTTTTGTAGTGTTGATTAGTGCATGGCGCTCATACTAGTCTTAAAAAGAAAGTGTCACGGGTTGAGCACGTCTGTCAGAGGGGTTGCCCTGAAAAGGGCAGTTTTCACCAACTAGCCCGGGAGGTTTTACAACGTTCGGCCGCCGGTTTCGTGTTGTTTTCATATCAGATAATATCATGTGGTGAACCGCAGAATTATCGAGAGGATCTAAAAACAACAGTACTTACGGCGGGGACCACGGGAAGGTACAGCATTTTCCCCACCAAGGGCAGAGGTATGCCCTCTTACAAAGTATGAAGGAGGGATAGTAGGGCTTCACAAAGGAGACAGCGAGGCACAAGATTGGCTTAGTACCCTGAAAGTTCACCTTTAGAGCAAGACAGAGACTAAAATATAATTTTTTTCGTACTACACATTTTATATTAAAATTTTAGTTACCGCGAGGGGCTTTGCCACCCCACCCAAAAAAGTGTATTGAATCTATACACATAAACAATAAACATAGAGTAATCAATTTCTATTTATCTTTATCTACAGAGTACAGACTACATCGAAAGTTAACGATTTATGTCCGTATATTGGTACGATAATTAATTCGGTACTATACATTATATTGCAATAAATGCACAGAACTATAATAATACTATATATAATACCTATTATAGACAGTGAATTGCGAAATAAAAATCCCCGATTCTAGGAAAAAACATCCCAGACTTCAATATTAGGTACTCACATAATCACATGAAATTGATTGATTAAATGTTTTTTAAAAGCTAATTAATGTAATTACCACATTGTTAATATTTAATTATAAATAAACACAAGGTTTAGGAATAGCAATATCATTAAAAAAATGATTGTATAATAAATAGTGTTCAGACATTAACAATAACATTATTTTGTTTTTGATTTGAAACAACATAGGTAAATATGTTAATGGTTCTTTTAAAAAAAAAATATAGGTAAATACATTCAGTAACTATTGTTTGATAATTATTTGTAATTTGTATCGATTATTCGAAATATTTTTATTTGGTAATATTTTAAATATTGTATCTATAAGTAAAACTTGTAAAATCGACTCCTAATAATACGTAATAATTATTATTAATATTTAAAATTCTCATCTATCTATTCCCCAACTAAACATCAAATAATTTTTCAATTAACGAAGAAAAAAGTGTAAAAAAAGCTAGTATAGTAGTTATTACAGGCCATTACACACTTTTTAATTTCGTATTCCACACTTAGTATTTCGTACTACACAAAGTGTGTCATACTACACACAATTTTAGTCCCTGGAGCAAGAGATGTGTTGCAGTTATTCTATTGTTTTTATATGTTATGTTTATAGTCTTTTTTTTTATAGTTTATAGTTTTTTCTTTTGTTTATAGTTTTATAAATGTTTATTTAAAAGTTTTCACCAATTAATAATAATATGCCATATGAATTTAAAAAAAAAATACCAGTCTTACATTACTCTACGCAACAAATTCGCTAAACGTATTTTTTTCGAAATTAATGTGACTTTTACGATCAACTTTGAAGCTGTTTAAACGACATGTCGCTTTCTCCCAATCTTTAAATGGCAAAATTACATGCTTAGGTACAGACAGACCATATACCTACTATCAGAGACGGATTTACACAAATGCCGCCCCTAGGCAAATTTTTTTTGCCGCCCCATTAAACTTATCAACGAGAAAACGTATTTTTAAATACTTATTTAACATAAGTACTAAAAAAATAAATCATAAAGACTGATACTAAACAATAATTAATGGCAGTTATGTTAATAAACTGTCTAATAAAATGTGTTTATAAATTAATATAGTGTTTACTTACCAGTCATTTAAGTAGTATACTAATAAAGTAATAACCGAATATGAAGTCTATCCGCCTTGAATGTTGTGTTGAAAATAATCGAATGTCTAATCAGAATATAAACCTATTTTTTACTCGGCCGCCCTCTATTTCATAGTCCCGAAGAAAAATAAACAATTATTACATAATTTTATCTTTTGGATAGAAAAAGTTTTATTTTTGTACACATAATGCATAGTACGTACGAGTATATTATATAAAAATATTCACACTGACTGGTTTATAATTAGACTATCGTTCCAATACGAATCGATCGTCACCCGTATATTCGTATATATCATATAATGTATGTATAGTGTGTGTACACCGTGCGATCAAACGAACCACGAGCGATTATTAATAATTATTACGACTTGGCAAAAAAATAAATTAGGTAACGAAATATGTTATCCATGTTTAGTATTTAGATAATAGATCTACGTTCCGGCAGTCGTTCGATAATTTACTTGGACGTTTATTGTTATGTATTATAAAATAAAGAAGAAATTATATTAACAAGAATATTATTATACTTAAATATTAAACATTTTTTTTCCATCCTTCAGAGTAATCACGGTACATTAGAAAATCAAAAAGAAACTTAGAGTATTCTCAATAAAATATTGCCGCCCTAAGCAACTGCCTACTTTGCCTGACGCTAAATCCGCCACTGCCTACTATAAAAAATTGTATACTATACTGTATATACATATTACATACTATATATTACTAAATACTATGTATTACATACATGCTGGTAAATGAAGACCTTGGGGCAACAACGAGACATGTTCTTTTTTTGAAATTATTCAACAGACAAAAAAAACATTGTAAATTTAAAAAAATAAATTAAGATTTTTTAAAAAATAGTAGATTTTAGTTATAGGGTACATACAACATAATATGCACTATAAAAGATAGTGCTCAACTTTTAATTATAAGTTAAGGAAGCAATAAAAATTTGTTTGGACATCTCTTGTTGTTGCACCGTAATGCAAATTTGCTTGGACATGCCTCGTTGTTGCACAGTATTTAAATTTTTTTTTGGACATATCTTGTTGTTGCACCAACACTACAACAAGACATATTATAACTCCATATATAACAGTCGGACATGTCTCATTGTTACACCAATCGATGCAGATTTTTTTTATATTTTATGACGGGAAAAAGTGATTTTGGCCAAAACATGGACATGTCTCGTTGTTGCCCCAAAGTCTTCAAATGTAGTTGTGTTTCTGTCGGTACACAGCGGTCGACAGATTCTGGTTGCTGATCCACCACCTGCTGATGACTGCGCATTATATAAACGTTATTTCGCGAAAATCGATATGTGTACGTTCTGTCTCGATGCAAATTGTTGGGCATCGTCATAGTTCATTATTTTTATTTCGACATACGATCATAAAAATCAATATTGTTATTTTAATTTACTATTATAATCGTAATCAATTGCGTTGAATTTTTTTCATCACCTTTACTTTTCTCACAATATCATACATTTTAATTCTTTATTAGTTTCGGCGGCTAAGGTAATAACGGTAAATTGGTAGGTAAATAGTATTCGATAGTCGATATCACGGTCTTAGAATATAAGGTCAGGCAAGTTTCGATAGGAACACACGCTTTTGTCACGGAAAAAAATTGGAACGGGCGCAGTGCTGCGCTCTATTGGTAAAATAACTCCTGTAGTTTATACAAATTAAACTATTTATATTGTTTATATATTGTAATTTATATATTCTAAAAAAAAAAAAAAAACCGTGTTCTATACAAAATATAACTTTATACTTTGATAAGTACTTAGTAAGGAATACTGGTGCACCAAATATTGCGAATTCAAAATGCCAAAAGTATGTTTTGTTTGCAAAAAAACAAGGAAGGTATTGCAAGTTTTGAAGTAACTAAACAAAGACTTGCAAGCCGGAGTAAATGTATTGATGGGTTAAATGTAGGTCACAGAATTTGTGAAAACCATTTTTCCCCAAATTATATTATAAAAAAAAAACTTGTGAAGGACGGCTTATGAACATCATTGCAGAAGTAAGATTACCTATTTAAAATATTACTCAATGATTATTAATATTTAATACAGTATTAATTTTAATTAATTATTAATTACACTTCTAGCAAAAAAGTATAAAAATGCTATTCTTCTTCAGGTTGCCATCCCCAGCATTAAATGTGAAAATATTATACAAGAACTTGACACTAATGATGGTTTAGCCATTCCCCTTGACAAGTCTGAAATGGCAAATCATTATAATATTTAAATTAGCTACTAGGTTAAGTGTAAACATTTTACAGTCTAAGAAAATAAATTGATCCTTTAATTCTTAATTAAGCCTTGTATAATTGATCCTTTAATTCTTAATTAAGCCCAGTGGCGTCATTTGGGGGGGGCAAGGTGGGCATTTGCCCCTGTCTGATTTTAAAAGCGGCCCGAAGGGCCGGTGCCCAGTTTTTGCCGTTTTACCATTATTATATTTTATCAGCGCAAAAACCTGTCTATTTTATAATATTTTCAGAAAATATTATACTACCTATGTACTCAGAAATTATTGTTACAATGATACATTTTTTCTAATAATTGATAGTTATTGGAATATATTTATATTTAGACGTATGCGGGGACGTACGCATTGTATGTAGGTATGCAGTGGCGTATACGGGTGGGGGGGTAGGGGGTTGTAACCCCCCCTCCCCCCGAAAATTGTTCAATATTTAATTAATTTAATGATCGACCGACACATCACGCGGCACCCAGCGGTCACCAAAACTGCACTAGAAGCTGCATCTAATGTTCAAAATACTATTCAGGAAATTAGAGAAAATTGTGATGTAGAGTTTCGACAATTATTTTTATCTGTGATAACATTGTGTGAAAAATTTGATATTACTGTTAGTTTGCCACGTCAATGTAAATCAGATAATCCAGAATATTTTTTGAGAGTCTCAGTATTCATACCTTTTATAGATAATTTTCTAGACCAATTGAACGATAGATTTATATCACACAGGATTGTCTTGAATAATTTTGATTGTATTTTACCCAAGATAGAAATGAAAATATCTGAAGAGATTAAAGGTAAATTCAAACAATTAGTAGAAACATATCAAGATATAATTTATAAATGATAATTTATTAAACGGAGAATTAGATTTGTGGTACACTAAATATTTAATGTATGATAATTTATTATAATAAAAACACACAATTCAATATAATTCAAACAACAACCGATTGGCACTCTTATCAATTATCATTGTCCATTGATACCAGACTTCATACGCAGTTAACTTACGAGTTTCGACGGTCGTGTATGATGGTAAACTATTCAACTATTTTGCGTATTGTGTTGTGTACCCAGGGCCGGGTTGGACAAATTCGGCCCACCGAGTTTTCCGTACTTTGCCAACCCACTTAAAAACTGGCGGCCCTTGGGTACGCTCTTATTCCGTGCATAGTTATTTTATTTTATAGTCTCCATTTCTTCAACTTTTAACTCTTAACATATTTTTAGTCAATGCGGCCCCTCATGACTTGAACGGCCCAAAATTGTCCGCTGAGTTTTACATCGGTAACTCGCCGGGTCAATCTGGCCCTGTAGTGTACCTTATCCTACCTAAATTAAAATTTATTTTTTCGTGACGCGTGTTTACATTAATCTTTCAATTTGAGCAAAATATGACTTAAAAAAAAGTAAATGGGTGGTGCGGTTAAAAATATAAAATTACCGCTCAAGAATCGAAAACAATTTCTGGTATGTTTAATAAAAATACGAAACTTAAACCAGTAAGCACTAAGCAAGCAATAAAAAAAAATAAATATTATAATTTAAAATAATATTAATTTTAAAATATATCGTATACATATACAGGGTGATTTTTTTATCGAAGAACACTCATTATTTCAAAAAGTATTAATGTTTAAGAAAATATTTTTTTACATAGTTTCAAGTTGTTAAAAAACAATATTTTTATTAAAAAATTATATTTTTAAATATTTTTTATCCTTTTAATTTTTTAAGTTTTTTACTTTTTTGAATGACAACATCTAATTTTAATTTGATATTCAAAAACAGAATATTTTTCTGAGTATTTCGATACATAAAAATTGAATTTAGGGCAATTAGTTTATGAGTTATAAGTATTTCTTCTTATTTCTTCTATTTCATCTATTCTGTGATATAACATGTACATTAATTCTTAGAATATCTGGATAATATATACAAAATACCTACAAACATTGCATAAGATACCTACCTAATTCGTTTGAAGAAATATACGTCATTTATAAACGTGTATAAATAATATATAAATAAATATAAAAAGATCACTGTAAATATTTGTATTCAAGTCTACTACACTGCAACGATAAACCCTTATCTATTATGGGTTATATATAAACATTTTTACTAAAAAATATATACATTGACAACTAAAATCAATCATTTCGGTTTTTTCAAAACAAAAAAGGACCCTTTTTTCCAACCCAAATCTTACGAATTTCGAAACTAGTTCAAATGTATACACTCTTTCGTATTATTTTCTTATTTTATAGTAGGGTTTCATACCATCATACCAATCAAGTAAAATACTATGAATAACACTTAATGCGTAAGTATTTTTATGAAAGGTAATATTATAATCTCAGTCTTCATAAATCATAACTCACTACCTGATGCTATTAAAATTAAATAATACAACAACTTACATATCACTACCGACATATACATATTATAACTCATGCATGTGCATGGGAAAAAACCTAACCAGTCACCCTCACCACCAACGAAACCCCATTCGACTCGAGCAAAACGTATATTATGTGAAAACGCATGCAACTTACATATCACTCAAGTGACCGACACATATTATATTTTATCAGCACATACTTACAACAGTCATATGCGGTTTATTACAAAAATCTCGAAATAGGTACCTACACAATAATTAACGTTACATCTGTAGTATTATAGTAACATCTTTATCAATAAAACATTTATAAATCTTCATGTTATTAGTCATTTTCCATACAGGCTCATGCTACAATGAGCATATAGGTGGGAACGTACATACATTCTTGTATCTTTATATATGTTACAGTTAAAGTGTTGAATCGGTTAGTTTATGAAATAACTAGGTAGTTTATAAAATAACTAAAACTTGTAGGTAATGTATATAATTTATATTGTAACTAGTTATTTTATACATTCCCTAGCATCACATCGTTAATGTGTCAAATTGTACAAATATCATGTACAATATCGTTATTTTACTATCCAATATAATAATAAATCAGATAAGACAGACGTCCTTGTTGTCGGTGACCGCAAATTCATGTACGTTTATCGTGTTATTATAAGATTATCGTTATTGGTATATGTATTATATTATATTTAATGAAAGAAAAGTTTTATATTATAGTGTTAAAAATCTATTTAATGAAAACCAAATAGTGCAGTTTTAACAAAAGATAAATATGCAAGTTGATGATAAACGTGAAAAAAAATAAAAATAAAAAAGGAATCTTCTCATGACTATTGGTTAGAAAAACATTGCGATATTGTAAAAATAAATATTAATACTACCAGTGAGTAGTCAAAATGAAAATGTTAAATTATAAGTTATGGCTTATGATTGAAGAAATTTTTGATTATTTACATGAAATTCGTATCTGTATTGAAGATGGGGGTAAATACCGCATGTAATATGAAATAAATAAACGTAATGAAAATATTACTCAATCTGATGTTAAGCAATACTTGGATTTGTGTATACCTTGCCATCAAAAAAAAAAAAAAGGCACTGTTGTAAAATCAGTGGTGTTTGAAAATTTTAACAGCTGCAAATAATGTAATTACAATTAATTCAGTAAAATAAAATATTTTAATATATTATTTAAAATTTTAATGTATTTTATACTTTAACGGATATCAAACTAAAATTGTATAGAATAACTAGATATTCTATGAAATAACGAGTCAAAGTATAATTTTCATATATTATTTCATACTTTAACTAACATTCGTAGATAATTCACGAACTACCTAGTTATTTCATAAAATTACGGGATTCGACACTTTCGCTGTAACATATATACACAATACTATTAGGTCAACCTATCATGAATAATATTACAGATACCTACTTACTTATATTTTTAATCAATCATATATACATTGAAATATTGTATGAGATTACAGTAGACTAAAATCATAGCTTATATACACATAGGTACATGGATTATAGGTATTTAAGAGAAAAAATAAATCTCTTACTGTTATTATTTTACTATTATTCGTCAAGTGCAGTGAGAATTATATATATATATATATAACAATGAGTAAAAAATATTATAATCGAGCCACCACCTATTTCTACAGTTACATGAACATGTGAAACATAGTATGATATGCAAACCCACATTAAATCATAAACCGATATGTATATTCGACATTACAAACACCTAAACATATTATAGGGATTACATAAATATATATATATAAGCATATAAACATTCATATATACACATCAATATGTCGCCTACATCAGGCATACTAGTATATAACCTTACATATTCTTATATAATTAAACAGTATTCATACATACATACGTACATAGATATATATTTAATTAAACAGCATTCATGCTTACATATAGACTCGATCTATTATTCCAAATAATAATTCACATAAAATATTTTCGATATATGATTTATTTGATACCTAATTTCTTAAACATATATTAATTATTATATATTTACAGTTGATACATAAAATATATCACAACGTAGCCATGCATACTGATACAACGCTATCCAATATACAGCAATTAAATGCCATATAGGACCTACTCATATATAATTTACTCATTTTATCGTTAAATACGTAGTAGAATTTATGGTGAAATCTAAAAATGTACTTATCAATGTGAATATACGTTAAAATGTACCTACTAATTTTGATAAAAAAACATAGCTGTCTGTGTGTAAATACAAAAATCTTGTTAAAATAAGTAAAAATATCATAATTTTAATAAAGCATATGGAAACATCACAATATTTTAGTGAAAAATAGGGAAAAATATCATAATTTCATTAAAATCATGTAATATTATAAAAAATATCATATTCCTGCCTAATTACCATCAAAGGCATATATATATATATATAATAAACAGTTTAGTTATTAAGTGTATCTAAATTCATGAACACCATTATAGCGAGTCTAAACGGCTGATAGGTACATATTGTTGCACTTTAATAAAATATTATATGAACTTTTTTGATTGATTCATTTTCAGTTGATAAGCCTGTCATGTACTATTTACACATATTTATCGCACAATTCTAATACAGCTTAAAGTCTAGAATATCATATTTATATCATATTAAGAATTCTTAAAAGCATTACAATGAAAAACCGTATTTATTTCAAAGATGAAACAAATTCATATTTAAATTCCATGGTATTAATAATAAAAAGCATACTATTATATAGTTGCCTTCATCAGATATTATAAACAAAAACAAAATAACATGTAGGTACGTTAAGCGGTGATAATTTTCCACTTAATGATTTCATATATAGAAAACCATATATATTTCGATTACTTTTAATGCATATCTTATACACATAGCCCAGCATTTATTTTGTACAACATTATAGAAAATAGAAATGTATTATTTGTACAGTTATATACTACATGGATGCTTATTACTTATACTTTTCAGGTATTATTCTATATCCTTTGTAAAATAATGATTGTATGCTGTCATCACAAGCTTGAAAATATATTTGAAAAAATCATGATTTTTCAGGAAAATCGGTAAAAATATGCTAATTTCTCCCAAATTATGATAATATTATAATTTTGATAAAATCTTATAGAAATATAATTTCTATGTCAAGATCATGTCTAAAATATTGAAATTCTTAATAATAACATATAACTAGTTTGCAAATCAATCCATCAATCATATCGCGTTAGATATATTAAATGCAACTATACACTATAACAGAATATTTCAGTTCTAAATAGTCGAGTTACTTCTCTTCAATCTACACTATAATATGATATTATATCAAGTTTTATGACTCAAACATTATATTATGTTAAAACATGTAAACATA